TTCTGGGCTCATACCAACTGGGTTATTCCTGGCTTATGTGCCAATGACTTTGAATCTAGTTGCAGATTGCCTCTCTCAGCCAGAACACATTCTGCCCATGATTTGCTTTCATAGATACTTTTACCACTCCTCTCGACTCATAACTTTCTCTTTTCTAGTCTTCATCCTTTGGCCTTGGCTGTCAATGCTCTTAGCCATGAGTGGTCAATCATTTTGTATGCCTATCTTCCCTGTTGGATCCTCTTGGTGGTGCCTCTTTGGCCTACTTAATCATGGTTTCTTCTATGTTATTGATTGGAATCCTTAACCCTCTATTTCTCTACTTAGTATTCAACCTTACCTACCACTTTTTCATTCAGGGGTATCATTTCTTTACATTTATGTTTTAGATTTGTTTGGTCCATCACTCTTAAGGCCAGACCCTTCAATTGCATATACTTCTTATCCTGTTTATGCCATCCTTTCATTTAATTTGTCTTTCAATGAAGGTAGTGGGTTTATCAACATTGGTCCATCCACCTCACCTCACCTTTCCTTCCACCCCTCCTACTCTGACACACCTTTGTACCTTCATCACTTGGTTGTTCAACTATGGGTTTGTCATTCTCCACCATAGCTAATTATCAGATAGTCTTATCCACTACTTTTCACCCTTTCTGTTATCATAGGGTGTTCTCTCCCATTATCTCTACCCTGTTCTGATCCTTCCTTCTTCACTGATCCCTTTGTTTGACTCCCATGTCTGACTGGGACCTTATTGTGGTGTTGTATACTCTCACATGTGCCATATTTGAGCCATTGGCTACTTGCTTTTTATACTGCCTTTCTCTTAAAATTTACTTGCATCCCCTTCTTCCTTATGGTCACCATCTTTCAGATATCCATGCTTTGCATCATACTTGTTTACTCCTCTACCCAGATTAATCCATTCTTCCTAAGACTTCAGCTGCTTTGGAGGGTGACCATTTTTTCTCTCTTATTGTCCTTTCTTCTTTCTCCCATTTCTATGCTCATTCAGACCTAATTTGCCTCCTATGTCCAGTTTGGGCTATTCAATGTCACTTGGCATGAACTTCTCCCATTCGGGAGTTATTTCTGTTTCTATCATGGAAACCTTCTTTATTCAGTGACTTCTTTCCTTCTACCCTTAATAGATTGGTCTGTTAACTCCTCCAGTTGGTGTATTCTCTCAAGGATGTTACATATCATCTTATCAGATTCATCACTTATCACATTATCTTGCTTCTCATTTGTTCCGGCCCTTGGACAGGATCCTCCAGGCAGGCATGTGTACAACTCCTCACATGTTTGTTGCTCACTATTTTCATCACCTGGTTGTTTCATCTTCCTCCAGTTGCCATTCTCCAATTGACCCTCCATCTTTAAGATTGGGTATGTTTTCATTTTCTTACCCTTTTCATTTAACAGGATTTCACCAGGATAGTGATGTTGCCATCCTGAGTATGTTTACTTCCTAAACTCTGCATGAGGCCAAGGGTAATGGAAGATACTCAATTCATCCACCTAGGCTCTGTCAGTGCCCAGTGTCAAAGATGGGGTGTTCTGCAAGACCACTAGAGGCATCCTCTTGGTATACAGAATTACACAATTGC